TAAGAAGACCTTGTATTCAAAAGATGAGGCTGTTAGCCTAGAAATTAGCAATTGATCAAGGAGAATATACTGTAGGTCTGAAACTTGGGCAGTTAATCTCCCCAGACCAAAGCCTAAAGAATTGAGAATTTTAAAAAGAAAGGGATGAGGGCATCAACATATCCATGTGTTTTAATTGGATTCTTACGTATTGTAGGTACACATATAAACCATGTAAGTTGCCATTCTCATAATTCTCAAGTGTGCAGTTCTGTGGCACTAAGTACACTCAGATTGTTTGTAGTCATCACCACTATCCATCTCCAGAACATTTTATTTTTCCACTTGAAGCCCAATATGCATTAAACACTAACTCTCCATTCCCCGCTCTCCTCAGCACCTGGCAGTCTTCATCCTACATTCTGTCACTATTTAGGAACCTTGCATATGAAAGCAGTGTATCTGTCTTTTCATTACCTACTTGTATCTCACTTTGCATGTCTTCAAAGTTCATTGACGTTGTATATGTCAAATCTCCTTAGTTTAAGACAATATTCCATTGTATGAGTGTATGTATATTAATACATATATGCCACACATGTTCAATCCATTCATCTATTAATGGAAATTCAAGTTGTTTTGACCTTCTGTCTGTTGTGGGAAATGCTGCTGTAAATATAATGTATAAATATCTGCTTAAGTTCCTACTTTTACTTCTTCTTCCTTTTTTTCTCTCTTTTTTTTTTTTTTTTTTGCAGTGCTGGAGATCAAACCCATTTACTTACTTCTTTGGGGTGTGTATATATAAAAGTGTAATTACTGCATCATACAGTAATTCTATTTTTAATTTTCAAAAATTTTCCTGTCATTTTCTATAACAGCTGCACCACTTTATAGTCCCACCAGCACATACAAGGATCCTGATTTCTCTACATCCTCATCAACACTTGTTATTTTCTGTTTTTTTTTTTTTCTTATACTAACCATCTTAATGGGCATGAAGTGGTTTTGATTTGCATTTCCCTAATGATTAGTGATGCTGTGACTCTTTTGATGTGCCTTTTGGCCACTTACAAGAAGGTATACCTATCTTCAAAGAAGATATTTTTGTTTCTTCTTTGAAGAACCATCTATCCTTTCTTTCTTGGCCTTTTGGCTAAGATCAATTATAGAGAAATGTCTATTCAAATATTTTGTGTATTTTTAGCCAGTTTTTTGTTTTGTTTTCTTGTTCTTGAATTATAGAAGTTCCTTAGATTATGTATATCAGTCTCATCAGATATATTATATACAAATATTTTCTCACATTCTTGGTTTGTTTTTACTTGTTGATATCCAATTTATTTATTTTTTCAATTAATCACTACTAATTCCAATGCCCCAAAACAGTCCTTTCTCCTGTCTTTTCCTGTAAGAGTTTTATAGTTCTTTGATCCATTTTGAATTAAGTTTTTCATTCGGTTTAAAGTAAAGGGTCCAGCTTCATTCTTTTGCAATACCACTAGTTGAATTGTAGTCTTGTCGTCTGGCTCTCCTGTCAAAAATCATTTGATAATACCCAAGAGGGTTTATTTCTCAGCAATCTATTCTATTCCTTTGATATATATGTTGGCCTTTATTCCTTAGACCATGATCCTCCAGATTTTAGCTTTCTGAGTAGCTATGGTTATAGGCATGACCCACCATGATAGGCTGCTATTATTATAATGTTTGTAATAAATACTTATTCTTTTTTGGGGGGAGCAGAGGTTTATTGGGGGGCGACGGGGTCTCAGCCCTTCTTGGCGGCGGCCAGCACGCTGCTCAGCTCCTCGGGCTTCCTCTTGGCTTGGATGCGCATCCTCACCCTTTTCTTGATGAACTTGAGGTGTGCACTTGTCCTTGGACACCTTGTGCAGCTCCAGCACGCGCGCCGCACCGCTCTTGCGGGGCGAAGCCGCACACCTCCGTGAATCACACGAACTTGGGGTGCTTGGTGAGGCGCCTTTTGGCGGCGGCTGTGCCTCGGCTTGTTCACGTTCTTGGTCACTTTGTGGCCTCTCCTCAGGCCCGCGGCCATGGGGTAGCGCAGAGCCACGGCTGCGGTTCTCCAACAGCTGCTGCTGCGGAAGGGAGGACTATTCTTTTGAAAAGGATTTTAGTGGACTGGTACATTGAACGCTATAAAAACACTTCAAAGAAATATGAAAAGAAACAATAAATGGAAAGATATCAGTGTTCGAAGCTTGTAAGACTTAATGTTTTACAACATCAATACTATATATTGTACACAATCTATGTCAACCAATCATTTGACTTTATATTCCCCGTGTGTGTGTGTGTGTGTGTGTGTGTGTGTGTGTGTGAACAAAATTTTGAACCTGGGCTTCTTTTACTTATTATTCTATCCTACTCACTTTTTCTATGTTGTCCCATAGTCACATTAACAAACTTTGAGTGTGATCTCCCAATAGTGGACCGTCTGTGAAGGGAAATCGCGCCTTAGCCTAAGCTTTTGGTGGGGGAAGAGATGGAAATCTTCGCTCCATTTCCACCAAGTGGTAGAAATAAAATACTGTTAGGTTTTTAAAGAGGTAGCTGAGTAAGAACAGCACCACGCACGTGGTATTCAGGTAAGGGGTAAGTTTATTCAGTAGACCTGCTGGGACCAGGCAAGGTTGGCACTCCACGTGGCTGGCCCCGGGTTAGGCCTTATATAGGGTAGGGGGCGGGGAAGGGTATGTCCAGGAAAAGGGAAGTGGGATCAGGTGGGAGAAAGGTGTGGCCACATCAGATTAAGATGTGACCTCAGCGGATGCAGATGTGACCTCTTCCAGGTGTCCCAGTTGCCTAGGTAACGCAGGTACTGGGCGAGGTCTGTTCGCTGTCCAGAAATGGACCTTACAAGTACTTCCTAAGGAAAAGAAAGAAAACTAGAGATTTAAAGACTACCCTTGGGAATCTGTTTTGATAATTAAATGGGAATACTCACAAGTCAAGAAAATATATTGACTGGCAACCTGTACCTTCTCTGAATCTTCACTAACCAATTCTAACTCCAAAATGTAGCATTTAACATTTGGAATCCATCTTGAAAGACAAGAATCCCAAAGCACAGAGTATATTTATTTGCAATGTTTTTCACAATGGATGCCTAAAATATTTTATATCCATCTATAACTTTCAGTTACTTAGAGTTTTCAGAATCTGTTCAGAAATTGTGAAACTTGATCAAATATAGTTTTTTTAAAAAATAAAGAATCATCCTTGTAATATTTGATTTTATCACCTGTCTTGGAATGAAAAGCTAAGTTGACAGCTCTGGCTGTTAAACTGGGAGACATGAATTAGTAAAGACAGGATTGAGAAGCTTTGCCATGCTAAGGTTTGTAATCAGAAAGTGAACTTGCCTCTACAGTGAAAGCAGTCTGTCTGCTAGAATTATCTCTCCTCCAGTTCTTCAAAAGAGCCTGTACATACCTGACTGCACCAATGAAAATCCACAGCTTCACCTTTCCTTTAGATTTGGGCCATTTCTTAGATGAATATGAGAACTGTTGAAATGTTAGCACAGGTCTTGGATTCATTCTTTCTCCTGGATGCTCACTCCCTTCCCTTTTTTCTCCTTAATTTGAAGACCATGTTTTTCTAATTAGGCATTCTAAAGATACTACAGATAAAATAAATCCCAACAACTGTCGTTTTATCCTTTGTCCTTGCTGTCATCATCACCTTTAGCGCTTATTCCAATTTTAAAGCCACGTGTAACATTGTCTAAATAAGCCATGTTTTCCTACTGTTATCACTTTCCTGAGGTTCAGGAATTGAAGCATTGGGTAAAGCACCAGAATATTCCTTTTAATTAACTTCTGTTTGCTTTCCCACTCCATTTTAAATGGAATATTTTTAAGCTAGAATATATTTGACAGGGTTGATTAAAACTTTGAAAACATACCAGAATCCAGCCCTAAAAAGATCTGAGGCCTTACTCAGATCCCAGGAGTTAAGATCACAAACACCCCCACTAAACAGCTACTGGAATATGCATTAGTTTAATTTTTTAGGCTGGGTGCCCATGGTAGGCTGTTTCCATCTGGGGAAATGGGGAGGGGTGGGGAGACACATATACCTTATTGTAAAGTGCAGAATATACACATTTTAGCTAAGTCACTTTCAGCATGCTCCAGGGAAGTAGCTAGCTCCATTAGCCAATGTCAAAGAAGATAAATGTGCCTAAATTACTTGCCAAAAATGCTTAGTGAGCATCAGAGAGATGCATTCTACTTTCCAAATTATTAAGCAGACTATTCAGAAGTACTCAAACATTGCAGATTGCTGACCAGAAGCCAGGGACAGCTGTCTTCCTCTGATACCCCATGGTGACACTCACAGGAACTTACTCCCTTCAGGGTTCAACCCACTAAAAGGCATGAGAGGATGTGCATCATTTAGCACATCCTGACATCTAGGTTTTGACTGAAGAATTTTTATGCAAGAAACTCCTGGATCCTAGAAAGACAATCCTTTAGATGCACTTTTCTCAATAACATCAATGTATCTGGCTTTCTCTGCATAAATACACTGAAATAAATGACCACTTTCTATATGTTATATACATGTGCAAATATATCATCATTACAATGTATATATCTTTCTAGGAAGCAGGAGCTAAATTTAAGTTATGATGTATTTTAAATGTGGCCTTTTGTTTGATGTATCTAAATGGTTTGGAGGAGTTAGCCATCTCTAAGGAATTGTCTTTGCAAGTAAGGTCCTAGGATTATCTGCATCAGAATTATCTCACTTAAACACAACACAAAATAAACCTTTGGATTTCAGAATTTTCTCACTGGCCTGGTCTGGGAACCTACTTTCTAGCAAACACCTCCAGGAAATGGGCCCTTTCTTAGACACCTTTTGTCTAAGAAAAACCTCTTTAGGAAATCCCTAGGGGAACTGAGTTTTCCTTCTTGGTAGAAGGAAGGAAATGAGCATTACTCTGCTAAATTGTTTTAGTAAAACTACTCATTTTAAAAACTGAGGTGCTTTCTTCAGCAGCACATCTACTTAAGTTGGAATGATTCGGAGCAGATTAGCAAGATCCCTGTTCAAGGATGACATACAGATTGGAGAAGTGTTCCCTTTTTTTTTTTTTAAGGGGGTGGGGGGAATGGCCTGGGAATGTGGCTTTGTGGTAGAGTGCTTGCCTAGCATTCCTCAGCACCACATAAACAGAAAAGGCCGGAAGTGGTGCTGTGACTCAAGTGGTAGAGTGCTAGCCTTGAGCAAAAAGAAGCCCAGGAACAGTGGCTCTGAAGACTGGCAAAAATAAAAATAAAAACAAAACCACCTAAGGAAGGATTTGGGTTAGAGGAGATGGTGGAAAGTGATGAAAGTAGTGACATCAGTTGTAAAACATTATACTTATAAACTAGTTTACTGAATGCTAACTGCTTTGTGCAACTTAAAGACACTAAATATATTTTTTTTAAAAAAACACAAAAACCAGAAGCAGTTAGTAGCATTGTTGAGTCCGCCAACTTTGTGATCTTCTTATCTCATTCCAGTTTTTCTTCAGTTTCTCTCTACAATGAAAGGAACCCTTGGCTCTAACTGTGAGTGCTCATTTATTCTCACGGATTTTTTTTTGTGGGAGAGGGGACTGTGTGTCTATTGGTACTGGAATTTGAACTCAGGGTCTTAAGCTTGCTTGGCGAGAGCTCTAACACTTGAGCCATGCCTCTAGAACAGCTTTTTATTTTTTTGCTAGTTATTCTAGAGAGGAGGTCTCATAGACACAGCCTGGGCTAGCTTCAAACCTGATCCTCTCTATTTTAGCACCTGAGCAGCTATGATTATATCCTCATGGTATTCTCATACATTTTTATCCAGCTCATTAAGCAGGACTATTCACCGTGGCCACTATATTTAGGGAGTGGTTTATTACATGACTGATAATTACTTCATTAGTAATTAATAGTGACTAGAAGTCTAGCTAGAATTTTTTTTCTCCAGACCAGTGGATTGCGTGTACTATTATGACAAAATGCTGTGGGCTGGGTAGCTTAAGCCGTAGAAATTTATTTTCTCATAATTCTGGAGGCCAAAGTCCAAGTTTAAGTGACTGACCAGTTCAGTTTCTGGCAAAGTGCCTCTTATCTGGATTGTGGACAGCTGCTTCTTGCAGAATGCTCACTTAGCTTTCCTTGGTGTGAAGACAGAAAGCTCTTCCTTCATAAGAGCATCAGTTATAACATTAGGGTTTCAGCATATGAACTTAGAAGAGACACAGTTTAGTCCATGGCAGTCTCTTATTAATGTCTCTGAATAAACTAGGGAATAAATAGTATAGCCCTATATTGGCACAACAGTTAGCAGTTAAAAAGGTTAAACTACGGATATACAAAACAACATGAATGGATCTCAAATGTATGATTCTTAGTGTTAAAAAAAAAATCAGGTTTAGCTGGGCACTGATAGTTCACACCTGTAATCCTATCCATTATGGAGGCTGAGATCTGATGATTATGTTTCAAAGCCAGCCCATGCAGAAAAGCCTGTTACACTCTTATCTACAATTTATTACCCAAAAGCCAGAAGTAGAGCTGTGGTTCAAGACTAGCCTTGAGCACAAAAGCTCAGGGACAGTGCTCAGGCCCTGAGTTCAAGCTTCAGTACTCACACACAAAAGGGTCAGGTTAAAAGGGCAATATACTATATGAACTCATTTACATGATTATCTAGAAAGGCAAGCCTGTGGGAAGAGAACATGGATCAGTGGTTTCTGGGGTCTAGGAAAGAGATAGAGAGAGACAGAGACAGAGAGACAGAGACAGAGAAAGAGAAGGAAGGAGGGAGAGGGAGAGAGAATATCCAACAGAGGAATTTCTTGGTGTGGTAGAGCCATTCCATATCTAGATTACAGTGGTGTTTTCATGACTATATAAGTTTGTCAACAACATAAAAACTGCATATGAAATTTACTATACCTAAATTACATTTAATTTTCTTTGTTTTTGTTTTCTAGTCATGGGGCTTTAACTCAGAGCCTGGGCACTGTCCCTGAGCTTTTTTGCTCAAGGCTAGTGCTCTACCACTTCGAGCCACAATGCCACTTCCGGTTATGTGAGTGGGTAATTGGAGTTAAGAGTCTCACAGACTTTCCTGCCTAGGCTGGCTTTAACCATGATCCTCAGATCTCAGCCTCCTGAGTAGCTGGCAGGCATGAGCCACCAATGGCCCTGTATATTTAGTTTTAAATGTAAAAAAAAAAGTCTATTCTGTGTCCTTTATCCTTATCAATCATTGTTTTGAAGATAATGTCTAGTAATGATGTAGTACCCTATACAAGGTATTATTTTCTTTTTAAATTTAACAGAATCTTCCAGGAAAAGACATTAATAAAGCACTGAATCACAATGACAGTTAAGACACATGCTTTTTCTCCTTGAATTGGGATGTCCTTTATATAATCCTGTTACTGACTCCAAGGCCTCCAAGGCCACAAATCAATAGTATTGTTAGCAAGGATAGAAATTTGTAGAAACACAGTCCTGAGTTTTCTTCCTGGTAGCCAGCTTTTTGAAAACACAGACAAAGGCATCAAAAGGACCCAGAGAATGTGAATCCAACCTGCTGTGCTATACAGTAACACACCTGCTTAGGGAAGGAGAGTCAGGGTTTCCATTCCTCAAGGTATAGTCCCTTCCACTTTATCTTCTCTCTCCACTTTCCTGCCACCTTTCCAATGTCCACACAGCGACCAGATATCATTTCTACCATGTTTTGCCATCAATCAAAAGAAAAATAAACTGGTGAGCAAAGTCTTTCATTATGATGACATCAGAAAAATAAATGTAAACCCTAGCAAGCCTCATTTAACAGATAAAAGCCACAATCTCTAATGGAACCTCTCTTAGGGGGAAACAAATAACACAGCATAGACTATCAGAGAGAGGTGTGGCAAACATGCAGGCAAATTTCCCACACATTATTCCCCACAGAGTTTCTCCCTTGACTTGATAAGCAATGAACTCTTAAAATATTTTCAGTATGATGATTCTAAAAAATTATCCAGCTTATCCAGGATGAAAACAAAAACAACTTTTCTCCAAAATAAATGAATCTACCCTTTTCTTATCACTTAGATTCTGCCACTGCTCATCAGAGTGTGTGCTGTGGCACAGTGGGTGGAAATCTCTGAATCCAAGATTGTCCAAGCTGGGAACTTAGTCTGAAAAAATTAGCCGGAAGTGGCAGTACAAATGTATGTAAAAATTAGCACATTTGCTATAGATACTGGGGACCCATATTTTACCTATCAGGAACCTGAGACTTGAGCCTTTACTGTGAGTCTAAGGACTCTATGTTGGAGTTGGCCTGCTCTGAAAGCTAGAAGACTGTCAAGAATAGCTCTGCAAGATGGCTGTGATTAAGATTCAGCTGCTCAGGCTTATTTCTTCCTCTGAAGTTACAAAAAGCAGTTCTGCCTTGTTTTTGTCAGGTTTGGGTTGCCCAAGGAAACCCCCCAAACCATGCACTACTCTTGCCCTCTCGTTCATTCATAGCCTATTTTTAGGATTCCTTAGCAACAGAGCTGCCTGTTATTCCAAACTAATATTTTGCATTCCTGATTCCATTGCTACACTCACCAACCTATCCCGCCCTCAACTGTATACCACAGCATCATCTGTACATCCTCCAGGGACAGGAAAAGCACATTCTGCGGGCCCTGCCCTGTGCCTAATAATTCCTGTGTCCACCCTACCCTTCTGATGCAGTTGAATCCCATTCCTAGCTTTCCCTCTCTGCTAGAGATGGGAATACATTAAGCATTATTCTTTTTTTTTTGGTCATGGGGCTTGAACTCTGGGCTTGGGTGCTATCCCTCAGCTCTTCAGATCAAGGCGAGCACTCTACCAGTTGAGCCACAAAGCCACTTTCAGTTTTCTAGTGGTTTATTGGAGATAAGAGTCTCACGGACTTTCCTGCCCAGGCTGGCCTTGAACCATGGACCTCAGATCTCAGCCTCCTGAGTAGCTAGGATTATAGGCGTGAGCCACCTGTGCCTGGCTCAATATTCTTTTTCTAATACATTTTTATTTTCCTTTATTGAAAATAAGAGTATAGACATTTTTAGATCGATTGTCTGCTTTTGAAAAAGCCAAAGGTTTAGAGAGCTGCATCCATACCACTGTCACCCCACAGGGTGGGAGATGAAAGGAGACTATACTTTCAGGCCCAGGCTTAAGGAATTCTGCCATTTTCAGTGCACATCACAAAAACATTTGTGCTATGGTTGTAAGAAGCTGTAACATATGGAGGTGAGGGAAAATCTCTGCTTTTTCAACTCAGAATCATTTTTAATCATTTGGTCTTGGCAGGTCTACTTCTCACCCATCACTCTTCTTACTAACAGCTTGTTCCTATTCTTAGCTTGGTGGGAATATTTGACTTTGTGATTTATTTTGGGAACATCAGCTAGAATCATTGAATGTACAAATAAAGAAGTTCATTTTACAGATACACAATTGAACACAATTGCTTTTTAAAAGTCTGTTTTCGGGGCTGGGAAGGTGGCTCAGTGGCAGAGTGCTTGCCTTGCATGCATGAGGCCCTGGGTTCTATTCCTCAGCACCACATAAGCAAAAAGAAAAAAATCCAGAAGTGGTGCTGTGGCTCAAGTGGTAGAACGCTAGCCTTGAGCTGAAGAGCTGAGGGACAGCGCCCAGGCCCAGAGTTCAGGCCCCACAACTGGACCCAAAAAAAAAAAAAAAAAGTCTGTTTTCCACAAGAAGATAAAAAGATTCAATTTTAAAAGGGTCATATTCAGTATGAACTTTTTTTCTGATAAAAAGGAAATACTATTTTTCTTTTACCAAAAGAACTTGATCAGAGCTAGTTCTAAGGGAGTGCCAAAAAAAATTGACATAATTTCACTCCCTGACCTGGGTGCTTGCTGTCTGCTTTCCTGTGCCAGCTGATATGCTCCATTGAAGAGTTTATCCTTGGTGGAGCCTGAAACAAAGCATTCTTTGGGGACAGGTCTTTCATTTTCTTGCCAACTATTTGAAGCTTTAGCTATCCAGTGCAAAGTTCCTATCACTCTAGCACTTAATGGAATGCTAAGAGATGAATGTGGATAATTTG